TCCACTGGGATTTGTTGGCTATTGGATGTGGGATAAGAAAAAATGGGAGAAGTCGAATTTGACTCCAGTTTTTGGCTGGAGTGACTGGAAGGATTTGTTTACCATTTTTTGAGATTGGGAAGACAGAGGCGGGAGTAGATTTCTGGGGATAATCACTGATTCCGTTTCGGACAAGATGCATTTGAGATGCTTTTCATGTATGTAAGGGAATAGGCAAGTATGGGGTTCAGGGAGGAGGTTCAGGCTGGAGGTACAGATTTGAGAACAACATAAAGATGGCTTTGAAAGCATGAAAGTAGATGAGATTATCAGAGGAGTGGTTTTAGGTAAACAAAAATGAAGAGGTCCATGGACTGAACCCCAAGCTCTCCAGCAACAAGGAGTCTGTGAACAGAGGAAACTGAGATGAGGGATCAGGGAGAGAGGAGGGAAATCAGAAGGGGCTTCAGGAGGAGGGAGTGGTTCATGAGCGGGGGGTAAGAGCAGAGGATTGTGGCTCAGTGGAGGCCACGGGGGACTTTGATGAGAGTGGTTGGGGTCGGGGGAGAAGCTGCCTGGAGCCTAATAGGAGGTAATAGGGAAAAATTGGAACCAGGGAGCACAGAGGACTCTTTAAAGGAATTTTACTTTAAAGGGAAGTAGAAAAGTCTAGAGAAGGAAGTTAATTGTATTTTTTTAAAGAGGGAGAAATTATAACTGACTTTTATGCTGATGGGAATGATCCAGTAGACAGCAAAAAATAGTTGGAGTGGTGGCCTTGCATAAGTGAGAGGGGATGGAATCTGGTGTGTAAATGGAGGGGGTGTGAGTTTAGATAGAAGCACAGACAGTCTGAACAGGAAGGGAGGCCGAGGACATGGTACAGATACAAATAGTTGGATGGGTATGATAGAGGAGGAGGCTCATGGATGTTCTCTTCTGGTTGTCTTATTTTTCTAGTGTAATATGAAGTCAGGTCATCAGCTGAGGGTGAGGATGGGAGAGATGATGGAGGTTTGAGGAGAAAGAAGATGTGAGAGCATTGTCTAGAAGGAGGAGTAGATGGGGTACGTAGTCCAGGGAAATAGAATTTTATTGCTAGGCAGAATTAAAAGACCCGTTGAGGTTAGTGGTCATTAACTGGATTTAGCAGTGCTTTTTTCAGTTTGTTCTGCTTTGGTGGTATAGATACCAGAATACGTGAAAAACTGGATTTAATCAAGAGTTTGGTGGTTTGAAAAAGTGTACCTGAGGAACCATATGCCCTTGCCATTTTGGGGTGGGAGGTTGGATAGGATAGTCATTTTTATTAACTGTTTTATTGTGTTTATTGGTCCATTTAGATATTCTATATCTTCTAGCGTCAGTTCTTTATCACATATTTTACTAGAAAATGGACCATTTTGGATCAGGTTTTTTTTTGTTTGTTTGTTTTGTTTTGTTTTTTTCCCCCACAGAACTTTGGAGATGCCCAGAGCATTTAAAATTGAACTTCACTTGGTGATCTAGGCCTCCAGTCTGCCATTTGTCCTGCCCTCTTCCAGTCTGTGGAAGTGACTGGAGAGAGAAGCATGTCAGCAGGTGGGCTGCATGGTGTGCTCAGCTGTGTTTCATCAGTACAGTGCTGGCTACAGTCCTGTCCCTGGGAGTGAAGCAGGATAGGTAGTCAGGGAAGTGACCATGTTCTTGGGAGTCAGCAACCGCAATGATCATACAGCCAACACAATAAGCCTCAGCATTCGCATTGTAACTGAGGTCATTCAAGCAAAGCTATCTTCAGTACAGACTTTCCCCTCTAGAAAGCATGTACATTTTGATTTTTACCTGTCCTCAGAATGACCCTTTGTTCATTATAATAGTAAAAGACACACCCCTGGGTGGAGATTTAAGATGCTAATGAGACATGTGACATATGAACAAATATGTATGGCTACTGCACATATGCACCCAGAGGACCTCCCAGAACGTTTCTACTAGCAACACCTTTTCCCACCTTATGAATAATCATGTAAGACATCAGAAAGGGAGTCCCCTAGTGCCAGCTTTGCTGTCTCATCCTTACATACAGCCTCCTCTGAACTCTCTCAAGGTGTACTGTTGTATTAGTCCATTCTTACTCTGCTATGAAGAAATACTCAAGACTGGATAATTTATAAAGAAAAGAGGTTTAATTGACTCACAGTTCTGCATGGCAGGGGAGACCTCAGAAAACTTATAATCATGGCGGATTGATTTTGTGTATAGGACAAATAGGAGAAGAATATTAATCTGGTAAATTAAAATAACACTCTGGGCTGGGTGTGGTGGCTCATGTCTGTAATCCCAGTACTTTGGGAGGATCACCTGAGGTCAGGAGTTCAAGACCAGCCTGGTCAACATGGCAAAACTCCGTCTCTACCAAAAATACAAAAATTAGCCAGGTGTGGTGGCACGTGCCTGTAATCCCACCTACTTGGGAGGCTGAGGTGCGAGAATTGCTTGAACCCGGGAGGCAGAGGTTGCAGTGAGCGGAGATCATGCCACTGTATTCCAGCCTGGGCGACAGAGTGAGACTCCGTCTCAAACAACAACAACAACAACAACAACAACAACAACAACAAAACACTCTGAGCTGAACCACTCTGGTATATTTTGTTTTTTATAGGAGTGGGGATGGTGGGGTGAATGGAGCCTGACAACCACTCCCTGAGCCTCTCATAATATGGCCAATTACCATGCACGACCTCTCCCAAAAGAAATGTGCCAGGCCTGGCTGGTCTCTCAAGTAAATCCCTCTGAACTCCCCCAAATGCTGGTTAAAGCTAATGTTTCACCTGCTTCTTGCCTATATAAATACAGGAGAAAAACACGACCATGCGTGAATAGCATGCATGAAGTTGCATGAAAATAAATTATTCAGTTTCCCCTAGATGTCTTCTGAATGGAAGACTTCAAGAAATTGGAACTCATGATTTGCAAAAGAGGGGAAACATAAAAAGTAAAGAAACCAGGCAAGGCATGGTGGCTCACACCAGTAATTCCAACGCTCTGGGGGGTCGGGGTGAGTGAATCCCTTGAGCTCAGGAGTTCAAGACCGGCCTGGGAAACATGGTGAAACCACATCTCTACCAAAAAAAAAAAAAAAAAAAAAACCTGACTGTGGCAGAGTGAAACCATGTCAAACAGTAAAAAGAAACAATGAAAGAAACAATGAAAGAACGAAAGAAAGAAAGAAAAAAAGAAAGAAAGAAAGAAAAAAGAAAGAAAGAAAGAAAGAAAGAAAGAAAGAAAGAAAGAACAAGAAAGAAGGAAAGAAAGAAAGAAAGAGAAAGAACCCGAAATATACCTATCAGAAGCTACCTTCAGCATTCAGGAGAGCTGAGGTCATACTGCAAGTGGAGATTTCAATTTAGGCTCAGTCACCTTGCTCTGTAGTCTCTCACTCGGTGCTTCCCAGACTGTGTTCCTGGAGAATTCTGATCCCTCATGTTAAAAGAAAAACTTCAGCCAAATTAAATTTAAAGGAGTTTAACTGAGCAATGCATGATTCGTGAATTGGGCAGCCCTCAAAATCACAGCAGATTCAGAGAGGCTCTAGGGATGCCTCGTGATCAGAACAAATTTACAGGCCAAAAAAAAAAAAAAAAAAAAAAGAAAGTGACGTACAGAAATTGGAAGGGAGGTACAGAAACAACTGGATTAGTTACAGGTTGGTCTTTGCCTTATTTGAACACAATTTGAACACTCAGCAGTCTATGAGTGGTTGAAGTGTGGTTGCTGGGATTGGCCAAGACTCAGCTATTGTTACAGGCACATACTCCTAAATTAGGTTTTCAATCTTGTCTACCTATTAAGTTAGGTTATGGTTTGTCCGCGAGCTGATCACGAGGTCAGGAGTTCAAGACTAGCCTGACCAACATGGTAAAACCCTGTCTCTACTAAAAATACAAAAATTAGCTGGGCATGGCAGCGCACACCTGTAATCCCAGCTACTTGGGAGGCTGAGGCAGGTGAATCACTTGAACTCGGGAGGCAGAGGTTGCAGTGAGCCAAGATTGCATCACTGCATTCCAGCCTGGGCAACAGAGCGGGACTCCATCTAAAAAAAAAAAAAAAAAAGAAGTAGGGGTCCTTCTCAGGCCATGTTTAGTTTGCTGTAACACTCACTAAACTCTTTGTGGGGTGAGGGTTCTGTGGTCAGATCAATTTAGTAAAAGCTGAAAATTCTGTCCCTTTCTTGGAGATTCACAACACACTTCATTTATGTAATCATGTAATAAGCTCCTTCTATCTGCCAGGCTTTATTTTGGGGTCTGGGAGAATGGTAATAAAGGAAAGCAAATGCAGTTGCTGCTTTCATGGATTTTTTACCCTAATCGGGAGATGGATATTAATCAAATAGCCAAACAAATAATGTATAATTACAAACCAAGGTAAGTTCTACAAAAGAAAGGAATATGCTTATAGGAAACCTAGGCAAGGGTTCAGAAAAAGTGACTTTGAGGAAAGGATGCAAACAGATATCTGAAGCTTGCAGAGTTAGCATTAACGAGGCCAACGACCAGATCTTGAGGCTTTAGGATGTCCAATAAAAATATACTGTGATTGGCCGGGCACGGTGGTTCACGCCTGTAATTCCAGCACTTTGGGAGACTGAGGCAGGAGGATCATGTGAGGTCAGAAGGTCAAGACCAGCCTGACCAATATGATGAAACCCTATCTCTACTAAAAATACAAAAATTAACTGGGCCTGGTGGTATGTGCCTGTAATTCCAGCTACTAGGGATGCTAAGACAGGAGAATCACTTGAACCCAGGAGGCAGAGGTTGCAGTGAGCCAAGATCGCGTCATTGCACTCCAGCCTGGCCAACAAGAGCAAGACTCTGTCTCAAAAAAAAATTTATATATAAATATACTGTGATCCACATATGTAATTATAATTTCTCCAGCAACCACATTATAAAAAGTGAAAAAAGCAGTGTCAGACCCGAGAGTTGCGGCCTGAGTCACCGGCCCCGCCCTCTGGAGCCGGACGCTGCGGTAGGCCCGGGAGCGGCAGCGGAACGGACTCCCAGACCTCAGGACGCGTGAGGTGCAGTGAGTCGCAGCCATGTCCCTGGTTAACTCGTTCTTGAAGGGCGGCGGCGGCGGTGGCGGGGGAGGCGGGGGCCTGGGTGGGCGCCTGGGGAATGTGCTTGGAGGCCTGATCAGCGGGGCCGGGGGCGGCGGCGGCGGTGGTGGAGGCGGCGGCGGCGGCGGTGGAGGCGGTGGAACTGCCATGCGCATCCTAGGCGGAGTCATCAGCGCCAACAGCGAGGCGGCTGCGCAATACAACCCGGAGCCCCCGCCCCCACGCACACATTACTCCAACATTGAGGCCAACGAGAGTGAGGAGGTCCGGCAGTTCCGGAGACTCTTTGCCCAGCTGGCTGGAGATGACATGGAGGTCAGCGCCACAGAACTCATGAACATTCTCAATAAGGTTGTGACACGACACCCTGATCTGAAAACTGATGGTTTTGGCATTGACACGTGTCGCAGCATGGTGGCCGTGATGGATAGCGACACCACAGGCAAGCTGGGCTTTGAGGAATTCAAGTACTTGTGGAACAACATCAAAAGGTGGCAGGCCATATACAAACAGTTTGACACTGACAGATCAGGGACCATTTGCAGTAGCGAACTCCCAGGGGCCTTTGAGGCGGCAGGGTTCCACCTGAATGAGCATCTCTATAACATGATCATCCGACGCTACTCAGATGAAAGTGGGAACATGGATTTTGACAACTTCATCAGCCGCTTGGTCAGGCTGGACGCCATGTTCCGTGCCTTCAAATCTCTTGACAAAGATGGCACTGGACAAATCCAGGTGAACATCCAGGAGTGGCTGCAGCTGACTATGTATTCCTGAACTGGAGCCCCAGACCCACCCCCTCACCGCCTCGCTATAGGAGTCACCTGGAGCCTCGGTCTCTCCCAGGGCCCATCCTGCCTGCAGTCACATCTTTGTGGGGCCTGCTGACCCACAGCTTTTGTTCTCCCAGTACTTGTTACCCAGCTTCTCAACATCCAGGGCCCAATATGCCTGCCTGGAGTTTCCCTTGACTCTAGAACACTCTAACAAGCCCTGTCCAAGGGTCTCCCCACTCCCACCAGGCCCTGCACACACCCGCTCCATAACCTCTCCCCTGTATCTGTGCCAAGCCTAGCATTTGTGATGCCTCCATGCCCAGAGGGCCCTCTCTCGGTTCTGGGAGGATGACTCCAGTCCCTGCACACCCTGGCACACCCTTCATAGTTGCCAGGCGGCCAAGCTCCAGACCGTGCCAGACCCAGGCGCCCCAGTGCCTTTGTCTATATTCTGCTCCTAGACTGCCAGGCCCAGGAGGAAATAAACACGACCTGGTTGCTGGAAAAAAAAAAAAAAAAGTGAAAAAAAGGTGAAAACAATTTTAATAATATATTTTACCTAACTCAGTCTGTCCAAGGTATTATTTCAATATGCATTCAACATAAAAAATATTAATGTAAGAATTTACATTCTTTTTTTTGTCTTAAGTCTTCAAATCTGGTGGGTATTTTCTGCTTATGGCACATCTCAGTGTAGACTAGCCATGTCTCAAATGCTCATAAACCACAGGTGGCCCATGGATGCTGCATTTGATGACAAGCATCTAGAGAAACGGGTGGCAGGGCCACTGTGGCAGGAAGGCAGAGGGACGAGGGTGTGAGGTGCTGCCCTCACCTGGGCCAGTCCATGGAAGGTGGTGTAGGCATGTTAAGAATCTTGACCTTGAAGCTGAGCCACTGATGGCATAAAACATATTAAAAGTCCTGAGAAGGCCGGGCGCGGTGGCTCAAGCCTGTAATCCCAGCACTTTGGGAGGCCGAGGCGGGTGGATCACGAGGTCAGGAGGTCGAGACCATCCTGGCTAACACGGTGAAACCCTGTCTCTAATAAAAATACAAAAAAAATTAGCTGGGCATGGTGATGGGTGCCTGTAGTCCCAGCTTCTTGGGAGGCTGAGGCAGGAGAATGGCGTGAACCCAGGAGGCGGAGCTTGCAGTGAGCCAAGATCGCACCACTGCACTCCAGCCTGGGCGACAGAGCGAGACTCCGTCTCAAAAAAAAAAAAAAACAAACAAAAAAAAAACTCCTGAGAAGTTCTGCAGTGAAAAAGCCCATTCTTGCTTGTCTAACTCAGTGTTCCCACTTTTATTCCATGTAACACCTAACAATGTCCTAGGGTCACACATTGGGAAATGCTGCTCTAGTTGACTACACTTAGAGGAAGTCTTGCTGCTAATATAAACTTAAGCAAGAGCTGGTTACGGTGGCTCACGCTTGTAGTCTCAGATACTGGGGAGGCTGAGACAGGAGGATGGCTTGAGGCCAGGAGTTCAAGACCAGCCTGGACAACATAGTGAGACTCCGTCTCTATAAAAAGCAAAACAAAAAAATTAGCTGGGTGCGGCAGCATGCACCTATGGTTCCAACTACTTGGGAAGCTGAGGTGGGAGGAATGCCTGAGCTCAGAAGTTCAAGGCTGCAGTGAGCTATGATCAAGCCACTGTACTTCAGCCTGGGAGATAGAACAAGATGCTGTCTCAAAAACAAACAAACAAACAAACAAACAAACAAAAACCCCAGAGCCCCGCCCCCCCCTTCAAAACCCTTAAGCAGTTGGAGGTTTCAGGCCTCTCAACTTATTGAGGGGATAGCGAGGCTATATGTTATCCAGACCTAAGACCAGGTAAGCATAGAGATGCTGCCTGGTGGAAACTTGGCATTCCCTTTCTAAACTTTGTAGGCAGCAAATGACGCAAGAGAATCCAAGTGCTAGCCAAGAGTCAAAAAGTAAGGGCTTTGCACTTGGAATTCAGAGTGTGAGTAAATTGTGCATTCATTTATATTTGTCATTTCTTTTTGAGTTTCTACAGCACGTAGCACAATGGCAGGAATGTGTTAGGTGAGTATTTGAAGGGGTCATGTTTGTGTTCTTTTTTTCAGGCAATGGTATGTCTTTATTTCACGTCCTCCGCTAAGTCTGGTCCTCTCAGTCCTTCATCATCTCTTCTGTCTTTGAATGGGGAGAGGCCATGGGAAAAGCACTGATCTTGGAATTAGAGGCTGGGTGCCATGGCTTACACCTGTAATCCCAGCGCTTTGGGAGGCCCAGTCAGGAGGATCGCTTGCCCAGGAGTTTGAGAACAGCCTGGGCAACACAGCGAGACCCTGTCTCTACAAAAAACATAAAATAAGGTCAGGGGCGGTGGCTCACGCCTGTAATTCCAACTCTTTGAGAGGCCGAGGCAGGTAGATCACCTGAGGTCAGGAGTTCGACACCAGTCTGGCCAACACGGTGAAACCCCGTCTCTACTAAAAATACAAAAATTAGCTTGGTGTGTTAGTGTGTGCCTGTAATCCCAGCTACCTGGGAGGCTGAGGCAGGAGAATCTCTTGGACCCTGGAGGTGGAGGTTGCAGTGAGCTGAGATCTCGCCATTGCACTCTAGCCTGGGGGACAGAGCAAGACTTCCTCTCAAAAAAAAAAAAAAAAAAAAAGAAAGAAAAAAGAAAATAAATAGCTGGGCATGGTGGCAGGCACTTGTAGTCTAGCAGCTTGGGAGGCTAAGGTGGAAAGATCACTTGGGCTCAGGAATTTGAGGCTGCAGTGAGCCATAATTTTGTCATTGCACTCCAGTCTGAGTGACAGAGTGAGATGCTGTCTCAAAAAAAGAAAAAAAAAAAAAAAAAGGAATTAGTAACCCAAGTTTGTGTTCCATCTCTGCCTTTTTACCAACTGTGTGACCTTGAGTAAGTCAGTTAATCTGGCTGGGTCTTGGGATCATGATCTGTAAAGTGAGACAGTTGTACTAAATGATCTCCAAGGTTTATTTTAGTTTTAATACTATAGATCTATGCTGTCCAATATAGTAGCAACCAGCTACATGCGGCTATTGAGCCCTTGAATATGCTAGTCAGAACTGATGTGTGCTATAAGTGTAAAATACACACTGGATTTCAAAACAAAAATGTAAAATATCTCAATAATTTTTTTTATATTGGCAACATGTTGAAATGACAATATTTGGATATGTTGGGTTAAGTGAAATATATTAATTTCTTTTTAAAAATGTTTTTACTTATTTATTTGGGTAGAGATGAGGTCTCCTTATGTTGCCCTAGCTGGTCTCAAACACCTAGCCTCAAGCCATCCTCCCACTTTGACCTCCCAAAGTGCCAGGATTACAGGCGCACCCAGCCACTTAATTTTAATTTCATGTATTTCTTTTTACCTTTATAATAGGGTTACTAGGAAACATAAAATTATATATGTGCTGCTAGGGACTGAATTGGGACCCCCTCAAATTCCTATGTTGAAGCTCTAACTCCCCATGATGTATTTGAAGATGGGCCCTGGGGGAGATCATTAGGTCTAGATGAGGTTATGAGATGAGGCACCATGATGGGATTAGAGTTGTTACTGGAGGAGACATCAGCATTCTCTCTCTCTCTCTGCCACATGAGGACACAGTGAGAAGGCAGCCATCTATAAGCCAGAAAGAGGGCCCTCACCAGAAACCGACTATGCCAATATCCTCATCTTGGACTTCTAGTCTCCAGAACTATGAGAAAATAAGTTTCTGTTGTTTAAAACCACTAAGTTTATGGTATTCTGTTCTGGCAGCCCAAACTGACCAAGACATGCGGGCTGTGTTATATATTTCTGTTGGACAGCATTGGTCCAGGTATCTGGGAACTCCTACATACCAGCCCGCCTTCTGGCACTTGTAACTTTCTGCATTGTGTCTATGAGAGCACAGGCATGGTCTCCAAGCCGGTGTTTCCTCCCTAGCAGCTGCTCAATAAGTTTCTGGCAATTAAGTCATTTTCTTACTTGTAAGAATATAAACAGTCTCTGGATAATGTATGTAAAAGAGGACCTCATTAAGATAATATTGGGTAACAACTGGAATCTCTGCAGGGCAGAAGAACCAGGCTTGGAGGATATACTCAGGCAGACAGCAATGTCCCAAATCCCACTGCAGACTAGTATGGGGGTGACTCCACTGCTGCACCAGAGAACCAGAGTTGGCTGCCCACTGGCAGACTGAGTATGTGCTTCCAGCCTCATTAGCTTCCAGTTCAGAGTTCGGTTGAGTTTGAATCGGGGACCAGCTGCCAGGGAGGTTGGGAAGGTGAGCAATTGCTTTTGAACTTTTTTTAGTGGAAAGTGGGGTGTTATCATAAGCAGAAGATTTATTCCTTTAACACAGGAAGGGTCTTTAGATGCTGGGCTGCCAAATAAGGACTGGAACCCTTTCTTTGTTGCCTGAGACCTTGAAATTTTGTCTGCAACACAGCTGAAGTTCCACCAAGACTCCTCAGCTGGAACTCCTCCAGGCGAGAGCCTCTTCAGATCTCCTTGTTCTTCTGGGAAGTATGAAGCAGAACAGTTGATGTCATGCATTCTAATGCTACAATTCTAATTTCATGATGTCCTTTCAAAGTTCTTGCATGATATTTTAGTGTAGAGACACAGGAGGGCACTCTAACCAACTAGCAATAAAACATAAATGGTTTCACAGTCTTGGCCGTTAAAAAATGGATGTTGATTTGTCGAACCTGTAAAACACAGGTTTTTCTTTCTTTCAATTTATTTATTTATTTATTTGAGACGGAGTTTCACTCTTGTTGCCCAGGCTGGAGTGCAATGGCGTGATCTTGGCTCACCACAACCTCCGCCTCCCAGGTTCACACCATTCTCCTGCCTCAGCCTCCCGAGTAGCTGGGATTATAGGGATGCGCCACCACGCCCGGCTAAGTTTTTTGTATTTTTAGTAGAGACAGGGTTTCTCCATGTTGGTCAGGCTGGTCTCGAACTTCTGACCTCAGGTGATCCGCCTGCCTCAGCCTCCCAGTGTTGGGATTACAGGTGTGAGCCACCGCGCCCGGCCAGGTTTTTCTTTTTTTTCTAGGCAGGATAACTAACTTTGCAGGACTACCTTCCAACAATACCCTGCAAAATACCCTAGCTTCCGTGGGGGTATCTCACCTATGACAAAGGCTCTCAAGACACACCCTCCACATTATCCAGTTAATGTTCTAGGGACCGTGACTGTGAGCAACTCAGAACAGGGAAGGAGTTTTTTTCTTCTGTTGTCCAGGCTGGAGTGTAGTGGTGTGATCATGGTACATTGCAGCCCTGAACTCCTGGGCTCAAGGACTCCTTCCACCTCAGCCTTCCAAGTATTAATAGCTTGCACCACAGGAGTACCACTTTGTCTGGCTAATTAAAAAAATTTTTTTGGTAGAGATGGGTGTCTGTGTTGCCAGGGTTAGGGAAGAAGATTTTTGACTATAGCTTACCCGCTGCCTCAGCCACAAGACCGGGTTGCCAACGGCTCACATTTAAAGGTCAGTTGGCCAAATTGAACCTAGAGCAGAGAAGAGAGATCCGGTTGTCTTGAGACTTTCTTCAAATCTGCAGCCTGTCCCCATGACTCAGTTTTCCCGTCTGTAAAATGGAGATAACATTAGACCTGTCTGTATAGTTTGCTCATGAAGAGAGAGAGTGGGAACAACATAGCTGGGAGTGACATTTACCATCGCATACAGACCATTGAATTCCATACTCAAAAACTAAAGCCAGCCTGCGTCTTGTTAATGAATGATAGCACACGGGAGGGACAAAGCGTGCTCTGCTGGCAGCTGGAGTAACAAAAGTAACGAGGCGAGGTAGGAACAGGATCTGCTGGCTCCGGCTCGGTTTCCTCACACAGGTCCCTCCAGCTGGAGCCACAACAAGGGAGGAAGGGGCGCGGGGCTGCTGCGGGGCTTTTCCCTCCCCAGGCAGGGGCAGGACCTGTTCCGGGTGACTGCAGGGTTACTCGCGGTCAAGGGTATCGCCTTGAAGAGCCGGCTCCTCCAGGCTGGAGCGAGGCTGGATGGCGGGGCGCAGCCTCTCAGCCTCTCGCACCCGCCCTGCGTCCGCAGTGGCTGTTGGCGCAGCAGCCCAGCCGGTGTTCCGGGCTCAGTCCCCGCTCCCCAGCGCCAGACGCAGACTCTGGGCCAAGTTCTCCTTCCGCTCGCTGCTTTCTGCCCCAGGACCCGGATCAATAAAGGGAAAGAGAGCCGGGAGGAAATGATGGAGAACAGAGAGAAAGCAGGTGCTTGATTTCGCTCACCCAGCAGTTAGTGCTCACCGGCAGACACCGGGCGCTGGTCACGCGTCTCAGACACCAAATCTCGGCTCGCTGGTCCCTTTGAGGAGGTCGCCTGGGGTTCCCGCAGCCCTCCACCCCACCGTAGGAGAGTGCCTGCCACGAGCTCCGCGCCGCGCTAAGTGCTTTGCTACGTGAACTCCTAGTTTTCCCAACATCCCTAAGTCGCGGATACGTTATCACCCGCGTATTGCGGACGAGAGAACCGCCTCGGAGAAGCTGGCTGGCTCGCCTGGAGTTTTGCAGCTAGTGGCGGAGCCAGGATTCCGAGCAGGTACTGTGCGATCCGCCAGCGCCGGCCACACCTCACAGCCCCTATAGCTCCGCTGGGTTATTGTGCGGTCGCGCCTTCTGCACCTGTTGCGTCCTTCGCTAGGCGGGAAGGGAGGGAGAAGAGGAGGACCAAGGGGATGAGCAGGTGGCTCTCCTTTGACGGACTCCCGGCCCAGAGCGTGGGTAGACCACTCCCAGAGTGTGGCTTTGCGCCTTGGAGAGGGTGCTCTTCTTCTCCAGGGATCGCGTCCCCAGCGGATGCAGGGTTTCGGGGAAATGTCCGCCTCCGCCACTTGGGGTGGCAGGGGCGAGAGGAGGATCTGGAGGTCCGGGGGAGGGCAGTGGGAGAAAGCTGGGGCTGCTGGAGTCGCAGCTGCCGGCTGAGCGGGCTGGGGAGGAAGCGGGGCTGAGCGTGCGGCGTCCACGCGCTGAGTGTGCAGCGCTTTCATTCAAACTTTCTCCAGTCTCGGTTCCGGCGTCAGCAAGGTGTGACCAATCAGAATCCAGAGACGGGAATAAATTATGTAAATCACCATCTGGCGATGGGTCAGATGACTCCCATACTTTTAAAAACTACCTCTGTAGGAGCGTGACAGCAGCGAGCCCTTGCTTCCCTGCGGCTCAGGACGAGGGCAGATCTGGTTCTGGTGCAGGCGGTTCACATTCGCTCCCTGCCACTGCCCGCGGCTGCGTGCCGCCAAGTTTTCATTTTCCACCTTCTCCACGTCCAGCCCCCCAGCCCCTGGCCGAGAGAAGGGTCTTACCGTCCCGGATTGCTGGAAACACCGAGAGGTGGTTTTTGTTTTTAAAACTCCTGTTTCTGGGGAGGGGGTGTGGCGGGGCAGGATGAGCAACTCCGTTCCTCTGCTCTGTTTCTGGAGCCTTTGGTGTTGCTTTGCTGCTGGGAGCCCCACACCTTTTGGTCCAGAGGGACAGCTGGCAGGTAACGTGCATTTATTTTTATTCCCCCCAGTCACTTCTCTGTGCTGGGTCCCCTCTGTCTTGCTGATTCTTCAATCCCTCCTTGTTCCTATGAAATTCTTCCTTTCCCACTGTGCTGCCCATTTTCTTCTCCAGTCCACCTTGGAGTCCACTTGTCTCTCTGCGTGTCTGATGGGAGCATCCCCGGCAAGTCATGCAAAAGGCAAAGGCTGGCAGGCTGCGCTGGCTTTTGCCAGCCCTCTCACCCCCACCTCCTTCCCTCAGACCCTGCTGGTGCTGTCCAGCCAGCCGACCGGCCTGGCAGCAGCTCTGAAACCTTGTCCTCATGCTTGAACCTGGCGGTTTGAGAGGCAAGAAGGTTGTTAGAGCTCTGTCTGCTGGAGCTGCCTTTCAATCTTGTTGTAGGTGTCTTGAAAGTTCAGGTGGCAGGGTGGCTGGCTTTGGCTTGATTCGTGCTTGCAGGGAGTACCTGGTGGGTCACTTGTGCTTAGAAGCTGCAGGGCCTATTCCCCCAGGTTGCCAGCCTTTTCCTCTTCAACATTCTTGTGCTCCCCCGACTCTTCCTCTTCCCACTTTTCCTCCCTTTCCTCCTGCTGGCATTTAGCTTTTCTTCCTTTTGGGTTCTCTATGGCCGCCTTTTCCAGTGGCAGCTTGCCCTAGGGGAGCCAGAGTCAGTCAGCTCTGAGGGAGTCAGAGTCAGAGTCAGAGTCAGAGTGAGAACTAAGTCAGCTGATTAAGCAGTGGAGGGCTGGGGAGCCCCTAAACTGAACCCCATCATCTCATTTTCTAGTCTGCTGAGGTTGTGCCAAATGGTCTGTGTCCACTTATATATGTATGGGAGGGTTACTGTGAATGAATGGAAAGCTTTGCTTTACTCAACATGTTTCCAACTCTGGTGCTAACTAGAAGCATTGTCTGGGGGCAGGTCTCATCTCTGGCTCCTCACCTGTAAAATGCTAAAGTTCCTTTTAACTTCTGTGTTCTGGGCCTCTGAGTATGTGTGAGTCATTTCCTCCATTCCAAAAAGTATTTACTGCATACCTACTTAGTGTCAGACACTATTCTGGGAGCAGGGGAGAGAGCAGTGGACAAAATAGATGGCAATCTCTGCCCTCGTGACACTTACATTTCAGTGGTGGGAAGACAGACAGTGCACTGATTAAAATACCAGTGGTGCTCAGTATTATGGAGAAAAATCAAGCAGAGGAGGAAGGTGGGGGATGCCGGTGGGGGAAGGTGGCACGATTTTATGATGTGGTCAGGGAAGGCCTTTCTGGAGAAGCTAACCATTGAGCAAAGAGCTAAAGGGGGTGAGAGAAGGAGCCATGAGGACATCTGGGTGAGGAACAATCAGAAAGTCCCAGAGGCTGAAGTGACCCAGGCCAAAAGTAGTAGGAATGCAGCTAGAGAACTTTGGGGTCAGAGCGGTCAGATGCTAAGAGGAGGAGTCTTTGTGCATATGCGGGTTTATCCGCAGATCTGTCTCAGGAAACCAGGAGCCTCCTTTTCTCCTAGATTTCCCCATCTGGCCTCTGCGTGAGTGGCTCTCTGGGTAGAAGGTGGGGAGTTGCTGAACTCATTATGTCCGTGGTTCAAATTTCTGCTGGTTGGGGCTTTTGTTCATTACTTTCATGACAGTTAACCTGATTTCCGCTCATGTGCATTTAGCAGCATTTTCTGGAACCTTATCCCTCTTATATCTGCTGCATTCTTCCCCCTTCCCTCTCCTTTCCCTCCACCCTCTCCACCGCTGTATCTCTTTCCTTTTGGTATCTTTTTCCTTTTGCTTCTTAACTCTGAGATAAATTAACTCCAAGATGACCATTTGGCATCTTTCCCTGCTGGGTGATAGGAGAATTTGATACTCTAACGTCCTAGCCAGTTATCCAGTGATGCATCCCAGGATGGCTGAAAGAGCACTGGGTGGGGTCCATTTATGACTTTCTGAAACAGTGTCATGATGACAGCACCTACCTAGTGTTAAGCCACAGGGGCCATCAGTGACATGAGCTGCACTTTGGGAGCAGGGCCGTCTCCGAGGTGGCACTGTGCATGAGCAGTAAAGCTGGAAGGGGGGATTTTTGTTGCTTTTAGGAGTTTCTCCATGGCTTTAGTCATTTACTTAACAAACCAGATGAATGCCTGGCACATGCCACCATTAGAAAGGGCACTGAGGATGCCTGAGGTTCCCTAGATGGGAAAACTAGGGGAAGCCTATTTTCCAGCAGGTCAACAGCCTCTTGCCTCCAATTCCAAAATCCACAATCTCTCAAAATTGGAAAATGCATTTGGTAACTTGTTTGGCAGCAAGACCTGGCCTTACCTGATCTGAACTTATTTGGCAGCAAAAAGCCTGAGATAACAGGAGGCTATTGGTTATCTTTATGTTTGCCCTCAAATGTGAGTGGTTATGTATTTCTCTGCAGAAATTTTAGGGTGTTTGATCCAAGGGGAATAGCCCAGGCCCCACTGAAAGCATCATATAATATATGGTGTATGCTCCATAATGCCTTTCTAAAATCTGAAAACTTCTAAATTCTGAAACTCACCTGGTTTCAAGCATTTCAGAAAAAGAATTGAGAACCTGTGATCTAAAAGTAGGAAGGAAGTAGAACTCCTTTTGATAGGAAAGAAGAGGGAAAAGCCAGAGAGAGATCTATTTATTTCAGAGTGACAGTAATTAATACTAGTGACTCATTAATATTCTTTAAGTATAAATGAGATGTCCTTTTTTGTAAAATCTTCACAGTTTTTCTGGGAGGTGAAAAGGGAACATTCAGCAGATGTAAAAAGTGAAACCCAGATGGCTTAAGCAATTTGCTCACGATTGAACTAGAATCAGACTCCAGGTCTCTCACTCCCCAAGTCTGCTAGATGCGCCTATGCTCTGTTCTGTCTCCCCAGATGAGCTCCACAAACCCAAAGCTATACAGACGGAGGTCAAACCCTCTGTGAGGTTTAACCTCCGCACCTCCAAGGACCCAGAGCATGAAGGATGCTACCTCTCCCTCGGTCACAGCCAGCCCTTAGAAGACTGTGGTTTCAACATGACAGCTAAAACCTTTTTCATCATTCACGGATGGACGGTGAGCCCGGGGAGGGAGCTCTGTGGCTTTATACAAGATTTGATTCCCTTTGTTTTGGTCAATTAGAAAGAATTCTGGTGTTTCCAGATTCCAAACCCTCTTCCCCCCTTTCCTTGTGGGCTGCTTGTATTTCAGACAGCTGTGAAGAATGTAACGGGCATTCACTAAGGGGCAATCTGGACTCCAGCAGGGTGGTATTAATGCTGGCATACAACGGGCTTTCAGAAAGTGGCTCTCCTGAGGGCAGCAGCCCAGCTCCACTGGCTCTTAAGGACCCCTCTAATTACACTTAATTACGCTGGTCAACCACTGCCTGGAGGGGGCTGTCCTGCCGTGAGAGCTGAGCTTGACTAAAGCAACTTGACTGGCTCCGAGAACCTATGAGTAGCCAGCTGGCCTGGATTGCCGGCTGCCCTTGGCATGATGCCCTCCTGTTTGCATAGAGATAGCCCCGTTTAAAGGCACTGGGGCTCTTTATGTGCTCTAGCTGAGCAATTCACATTGAAAAGCTCATGACAAACTTCAACAAAAAAGGGCTTTAGTGCTCAGCTTCAGAAGCTTTTGACCAGCCAGGGATTTATTCATTCATATAATGACAGTCTGTAGGGAAATGGCACTATGAAGTGAGCAGATTTCTGCCTGGGCTAATTGGAAGGGGACAGTCCTCCTCTTAATGATGAGAAATTCGTATCTGTTACATGCTTTTGGGGTCTTTAAGTCTGTCATCCGCGGTTGAGGTCAGGGGTAGGAGAGGGCAGGTGTCTGCCTACCTAGTTGAATGAAGAGATGATTAAGAGCCTGTCTAACCGTGCTCATCACAAACCTACAATCAGAATCATATGTTTGAATCTTTTTAAGGCACCCTGTCAAAATGCAAATACAAGCTGCCTGCGACTTACAAATGGGTTGCATTCCAGAAAGTTCTTTTGTAATCTGTTTGGAACTTGGAACAGCAGTTTCCCATAGAAGCAAGATTGTAAATGGTGTTTGGGTTCCCAGGCTAGGCACAGAAAATCTATTTATTTGATAATGTGCTTGTGGATAGGTTTACAACTGGACCTAGTCGCCATTTATAACTTTGTTTCTGTGGGAAAATATGTTCTGAGTTGTAATTTGGGATTCCGGGGACAGATTTTCCCTACTCTGGGGTCAGGAAGGATGGCAGAGATGGGTTGTGGGAAGGGGTCATTTGTTAACTCTACATTCACCTAGGAGACAGCATCTCCCTGCATCTCTAAGAGAGAAGCTAATTCTCCAGGACAACCCTCCCCACTGCCTTTGAAGGACGGACCAGGCCACTTGCCTGCCTGTAACAGGGACTCAGACCAGCCTCGTGCCAGTATCACCCTTAACACATATCTCACAGTGGCCCCAACAGACAGTGGGGCAACAGCATAGGACATTAGCTAGGAAAGTTTTGATGGGAAATACTGGGGATGTGAAGAGCAATGGAAGACAAATACCTGCATAGTGATTCTGCCTGTGCTGGTCCTGCTCATGTGCAAATGTCTGGTCCCTGAGCAGCCAATGTGCAGGCTCTAAAATTGTCTGGGGGCACTGGGCATGGTGGCTCATGCCTGTAATCCCAGCACTCAGGAAGGCCTAGGTGGGAGCTTCGCTTGAGCCCAGGAGTTCAAGACCAGCCTGGGCAACATAGTGAGACCCTGTTGCTGCAAAAAATTTAAGAATTACCCAGGCATGGTGGCGTGTGCCTGTAGCCCCAGTTACTCTGGAGGCTGAGGTGGGAGGAGGATGGCCTCAGCTTAGGAATTCGAGGCTATCTTGAGCTGAGATGGTTGTCAGTGCACTCCAGCCTGGGCAACAGTGAGACCCTGAGTCAAAAAAAAAGAAAAAAAAAATTGGTTGGAGAGAGGGTCATATAGAACGGAATTTCATATTTTTTAGGATTTCTGAAACCAAGAATAAAAAATAACTTCCACTTTTCTCTGCAGATGAGCGGTATCTTTGAAAACTGGCTGCACAAACTCGTGTCAGCCCTACACACAAGAGAGAAAGATGCCAATGTAGTTGTGGTCGACTGGCTCCCCCTGGCCCACCAGCTTTACACGGATGCGGTCAATAACACCAGGGTGGTGGGACACAGCATTGCCAGGATGCTCGACTGGCTGCAGGTACTGGGGGATGACAGGGAGTCTCCTGTTGCCAGCAGGATCTCACCCCAATCTTCTTAAGAAATACAGGTCATGCATCTGTTGTCATGAACTTCTGGAGTCTGATAAAAATCTTTGAGATTATAAGTTTTATTGAATTAAGTATTGCTTGGAATACTTGAAAGCTGGGACTTTTCGAGAGGCTTTTAATTGTTGATAGATCTCTGGATTTTTCCTGATACTTAATTTGCTGAAAATTGGCCTTATGGGTTGTTCCTTCCCGTCTTAGAAACAGATACCCTTAGGCTGGTTGGGGATGGCCAGGAACCAGGCCAGGCTTGTGATCTGAAATTCCTACAAAGCCTGCTCTCGTCTCTGAAGCATGGCTGTGTTGAGGGTGGGGAGGGGGTTATTTCAAAGATGCAGCCTAATATCTCTTTTTTAAATCTCGGTTCACTGCAACTTCCACTTCCCGGGTTCAAGTGATTCTCCTGCCTCAGCCTCCCGAGTAGCTGGGACTACAGGCGCCCGCCACCACGCCCGGCTAATTTTTGTATTTTTAGTAGAGACGGGATTTCACTGTGTTAGCCAGGATGGTCTCGATCTCCTGACCTCATGATCCGGCCCGCCTAGCTTCCCAAAGTGATGGGATTACAGGCATGAGCCACTGCGCCCCGCCTCTTCACCACCACGCTCCCCTCTCTTAGATACTGCCAGAAAGAACAGGAAACATGTAGGGAACAGCCACATAGGCAGCCTCCAGTCATACCCTCCACCCTGCCCCCGTGCTTGGCATTTTCAGTGCCACCGTGTCCTTTTGGCCTCCCCTAAACTGACTGTGACCCACACATGGGGCATCACCAGCAAAGCCAGTGGGGCCCTGGGGAGTCTCTGTGCCCACAGCCCCTGCATCTCCTCCTACACCGTGATTGAGTTGTTGAATTGCTGGTGACTCTGGATCTCCCGACCCTGCTCTTCTGCTCACATACTTTGGTGACTTTCTGCAGGAGAAAGATGATTTTTCTCTCGGGAATGTCCACTTGATCGGCTACAGCCTTGGAGCGCATGTGGCTGGGTATGCTGGCAACTTCGTGAAAGGAACAGTGGGCCGAATCACAGGTGAGCTCCACTTCCATCACCAGTAGCCGGTGATTGCCGGGCTCCCTCAGCTACACTGAGCCAGAATGCTCCCAAATGAGGCAGCAGAGTGAATCATAGAGAGTTAGCTTTAGAAGGAACCTGGAATGCATCTAATTCAGAACCTCCCAAATGTTCTTTTTAGTCACAAGAACCTTTTTTTTTTCAGATTGAACTCGCACAGGTTCCCAACATATGAGACATGGAGAGAGAGGGGGGTGCTGTGGGTGGTGGGGTGGGTATATGGCGGGTTGTGTTAGCCTTGCCAGTGTGGGCTTTCCCCTTTGCTGGAGGCATCTCAGAGTCTCAGAGCACCAGGGAACACTGTTTGAAAACCATGGGTCTGGTCCAACAGGTGAGGAAACAGATACAGAGAGGTGAGGCAACTTGCCCAGGGGCAAACAGCTAATAACTCAAGAGCAGAAGCTGGATGGAGTCCTGGCCCCAAAGCTTTTGGGTGTTCACTTCAGGTCTCCACCCAAAGACTCAGGGGAAAAGAATGAATAGTAGATTTTAGTTTGAATTCTGCCTCTGATTTCTATCTTGTCTTGCAATAGCCTCTTTCCCATGTTAAGGTAGCATATTTATGAATGATAGCTACCAATTTAGAACAGGTGGTTCAACTTTGTAATAAAAGGAAACTTTCTGATATTGGTCCCCAGGGGGTCAATAGAAAATTGAATTTTCCATGTTGAAAACTGCATCTTAGTGAGCTTTTAACATGAGAGTTTGGATTAAATCATTGAATGATTGTGAAAAGTGTCAAAGGTTTTCTTTCTCATTGATGGGCCCCTCAGGTATATACGCAGAGCTTCCCCTAATGCTACAGTTTGTTGCCCTGAACTTCTATCGTCCTTCCAGCATCATTTTATTTATATTTACCCCTAACTTCCCCCTTACTCCCAAGACTCTAAGGGTGATCACCTAGAAGGAAAGATCTGAACAATTCCTTGTCCTGCAGCATTTTCATTTTAAAACAAAACTCAGGTTGGGTGTGGTGGCTCACACCTGTAATCCCAGCACTTTGGGAGGCCGAGGTGGGCAGATCACTCGAGGTCAGCAGTTTGAGACCAGCCTGGCCAACATGGTGAAACCCTGTCTCTACTAAAAATACAAAAATTAGCCAGGTGTGGTGGCGGGTGCCTGTAATCCCAGCTACTTGGGAGGCTTAGGCAGGAGAATCGCTTGAACCCAGGAGGTGGAGGTTGCAGTGAGCCGAGATTGTGCCACTGCACTCCAGCCTGGGTGACAGAGAAAGACTCTGTCTCAAAAAAACAAAACAAAACTCAGGTAGAAGAGAGTCCTTAGCTAAATAACGATTTGGTAAAGGTAGAATTTCAGATTTCAGTGACAAGCTGATAAGGTAGAATTTTAAAAAGAATATTTGTGAAGTTTTCCTGGCTCTCCTGAATCCTGTCCCTGGTCTTGAGTCTAGTATGTGCGTGCACACACATGAACATGCATGCACGCAAATGCCTGTTGATCCAATGATTTGATTCATCCCAGCTTGAGAGCTTTATTTTTGATTTCCAAGACTGCGGGGCTTGAGCTGCCCAAAGTGGGCTATGCTTGTGTGACCACCCATGACTGCCTATTAACAACCCCTTGCTGGTGCAAAGCAGTTTGACCTGAAGCTACTTGGGTTCCATTGTCTGAGCGCCTCTTCCTAGCCCCTGAATGAGAGGTGTGATGTTTCAGATCCAGGCAGCTGAGTAAATTTCAGCAGACACCAGAGTCAGACCCAGGATGTCAGTAACAATGACAAACTACAGATTTTGCCTTTCTCTATTTCTAAATCTGAAATGAGATAGGGCTAGGGACGGAACTTTCCAGTTCTTTCCCCCTGCCTGTTTGAGTGGCATCTGCTGGGGTGAGGGCTTTTCTCCTGAGGATGGCAGGGGAGCCAGGCAGAATGCTAACTAGTGCTCTGGGACGTTTGCATGGAGCATGATGCCCACATGCCCTGAGCATAGCCCCTTCCCTCTGGCCTTTTTCTGTAGAGCAGGGGCCTGACCTCTGTCCAGTTGCCAAGCAGCACCCCTGACACATGCTATTGTGTATGTCTATTGGGGGAGGCTATGTCCTCTTCTCTCCTCTTGGTAGACTTCTCATGGACCTGTGGACCAGGTGATCACAACTGGTAAGAGGACAGATTGAGGCTCGCATAGGGTCCTGCGTCCAGTGATGCCACTATGCCAAGGCCACTAGGCAGTCCTTAGCCTGGGCCTTGCAAGGGAATATCTGAACCCCAATCTTGCTTGGACCAGAGGGTGTGGATGGGGGTTTGCTAGAGTTTTACTTTCTTAGGCTTCTGAGAGAAGCCTGTGATATACTAGGAAAGAGGTCATATATTTATAATTGAACCTGTGCCTTGTTTGCTATAATCAGGTAAGCAAGCAGATGAATTTATTCAAGAAATGCATCCATGTGTGCAGGCTAGATGCTAGCTAATGTTAAATACCTCATGTGTGGCTGGGCGCGATGGCTCACGCCTGTAACCCCAGCACTTTGGGAGGCCGAGTTGGGTGAATCACCTGAGGTCTGGAGTTCAAGACCAGCCTGGCCAATATGATGAAACCTCGTCTCTACTAAAAGTACAAAAATTAGCTGGGTGTAGTGGTGGGCGCCTGTAATCCCAGCTACTCAGGAGGCCGAAGCAGGAGAATCGCTTGAACCCAGGAGGAGGAGGTTGCAGTGGGCCGAGATCGCGCCATTGCACTCCAGGCTGGGTGACAAGAGTGAGACTCCATCTCAAAAAAAAAAAAAAAAAAAAAAAGCAAAAAACAAACAAACAAACAAACAAAACCTCATGTATGACAGCTGCTTTGTGCTATCTCTGAGCCACATAGCAACTCTGAACATTCTACAGAGGGTGAAACTAGGACTCAGTGAGTAAAGGGCCCAATATCCTGGGCCCTATAAGTAGCAGAACTGGGACTCCAACCCATGTTGTCAGATTCCGGATCCCATGCACCTCACTGCTGTGCCATGCTGCCTTTCTTCTGCAGACAGAGGTAAAGTGGCCAGGCATGGTGGTGCATGCCTATAATCCTAGCTACTTGGGAGGCTGAGGTGGGAGGATCACCTGAGCCCAGGAGGTGGAGGTTGCAGTGAACTGAGTTTGGGCCACTGCGCTCCAGCCTGGGCAACAGAGTGAGACCCTGTCTTAAAAAAAAAAAAAAGTAGCTGTTGAACTACAGCAGGCCCTGCCCTGCCAGGCCAGAATGCACAGCCCTGGAAGTTTTGCATGCATGCATGTGTGCTCCATTTGCTGGACAAAGCAACTTTGAGGAATCTATGACTGAATGGAAGAAGCAGGAGCTCTCTATCTCCCCTTTAGTTAAGGAGGCAGTTCTCCTGGTCATTCATTCCTAGTTAAAAAAGTTAAATATGCCACTGCGCCCCTGAATCTGTGGGCCATAGATATGTGTCAAGGACAGTCAGAGCAGGGCAGGCAGGCTCTGGCTGGGGAGGTGAAGGCCCAGCCTTGCTGCCAGCCAGCCTGTGAAACCCTGTCAGCTGCCCGCATTCCTCCAGTGCAGCCTGGTTTCCATGGCACTGACCGTCTGGTGGGGACCTTTGTTCACACCGAGTAAAGAGCCTCTCCCTTGTATTGATTGCAGAGCAGAATGTTGCTCTCTCTTTCTCTTTCCTCCAGGGGACACAGGGAGAGGCTGCTGTGTCCGTACCGTGGTCCTTGCGGCCTCTGAAACGGGTAGTCGTTGGTTATTGTGGGAGGACGCTGCTTTTGTGCCATCTTTCTTTTGGGTCCTGGGCTAGGGATGAACCCTCAAGCAGCCTGGGCTCCTTTTCTGCCTTGGTCACACATAAAGTTATCTAAACTTGGCCGGACGCGGTGGCTCACACCTGTAATCCCAGCTACTCGGGAGGCTGAGGCAGGAGAATTGCTTGAACCCATGAGGTGGAGGCTGCAGCAAGCCAAGATCACGCCCCTGCACTCTAGCCTGGGTGACAGAGCAAGATTCCGTCTCAAAAAAAAAAAGTTATTTAAATTTGTGGAAACTATTTAATGTTTCAGCCTCTACCAGTTCTCATATGAGTAATGAGCTCTGCAAGTTGACCATCCACTCTAGACAGTAGCTCTGCCTCTTGTTTATCCTGAAGCTGCCATCTCAAGTCTCCTGATAGGCTCCCTGGTTCTAATGTGCTGGGGTCTGGTGAACATGGTTGTTACCCATGTCCTCCTTTCAGGACTCTCATTGGTCACATGCCCTCCCAGCCTTGGTGTTTTGAGGTCAGGGTTTCTCAGCCTAGGCAATATTGACATTTGGGGCCAGGTAAGGTTTTGGTGCGGGGGGGGGGTGTGTGTGTGTGTTGGGGGTGGATTGACTTGTGTACCGTAGAATGTTTATCTATATTCCTGGCCTGGCCTGCTAGATGCTAGCAACTCTCTCCATCAGAATGGGGGCAACAAAAAGGTCTCCAGGCATTGCCAGATGTCCCCTGGGGGGCAAAGCCACTTGTAGTGGTGAACCACTGTTCAGTGGCCCTTCCTTTCTGGCACATTTCATCTCTTAACTTTCTCCAGGTCCTTCCTATGTGTCTGTGGGGCAAAGATGCGTTCTGGTTGGGTTAAATGTGGTTCCCATAATCACTTGGGCTTGGTAATAGTAGCTAATACTGATGGGAACTCAGTCTCTTAAGATCTCACATGGACTGTATGAATTAAGGTATAAATTCAGGTTCTATTTTATAAATGATAGTGAAACACAGGGAAGTTTTTTAATATTTTGCCCACAGCATACCTACTTTTAGGATCATCTGGGGAATGAATATCTATTTCTAGGAGCCATAATTCGTAACTACCCACTAGAATCTCTAGGAGTTCAGGGACTTGTGAATCTGCATTTTATACTTTGCAAGTTCTTTTTTGGAACGGTTTTACGTTAATGCAGTTTTCAAATCAAAAGATGGTGAAAAGTCTCTCTTACTGCTCTGCTATCTGTCCATTTCCCTTACCCACCCTCTCCCCCAACGCACATGCATACGGGTAACTAGTTGCCTGTGTGACCTTCCAGAATTTTTTGTAGCTGTATGGTAGAATTTAAATTTAACAAGCTCCCAGTTTCAAATATGAACGAGTGCTCTCAACAGTGCCGCTTGCCTGCTCAACACAAAACGTTTGGAGGCAGAAAGAAAGATTTTCTCATTGTGGCTGCAAAATAGAGGAATTCTGGAGGCCTGATGTATGGATTCTCAGTGTGTTGGGTGTCCTCTTCTCTCTCACCATTCCACCCCGGGCCTGACTCATAACTAAAGGAAGGGGAAGAATAAGTTCAGATACAAATAGCTCAGTTTAGGGAGACTGGATTCTCCTTCCAGAAGGATGTAGGCAGCTTTGTTATTCTGTAAAAATTCTGCTAAAATTAAGGACGTGAAAGGTGCTCAGTGGCAGAATGAATGGGACAAATGGCTTAGTTTTAGGCAGTCTGAGTTCTTTCTAGAACTGCTTCAGTTTTAACAGGAGCAGTTCCTTGGAGCTGTGTGGCAGCGTGAACCTTATAGCTAGTTTATGGGGTTTGGTTGAGGTGTCGGGATACATGAAGGCTTCAGAAGAAAGTATAAATTCCATAACAATAGGATTTAATTTCCGCAATGATGTCTTGGGGTCACTTGCATATGGAAATGGGTTTCTTACTTTCTTCCGTGCTTTCCACATCTTGATTCTCCCAGCTAGATTCAGAAGGCATCTTCTTCATTCTGCACACCCAGGCTTAACTTGTAATCAGGACTCACTGACTTTGTGTACCTGACAGAGCTGTTTTGGGGCCTTGTTCTGCTGCAGGTTTGGATCCTGCCGGGCCCATGTTTGAAGGGGCTGACATCCACAAGAGGCTCTCTCCTGACGATGCAGATTTTGTGGATGTCCTCCACACCTACACGCGTTCCTTTGGCTTGAGCATTGGTATTCAGATGCCTGTGGGCCACATTGACATCTACCCCAATGGGGGTGACTTCCAGCCAGGCTGTGGACTCAACGATGTCTTGGGATCAATGGCATATGGAAGTAAGTTCCCTGTTTTCTGCTTTGTGTTTGACTCAGTTTATCCCATCTCCTTCTAAATCAGCCGAGCCTTTAGCGCTGCAGGCACTACGTGTTCACTATTCTCATCTCCTGCCACAGAGGCCTCCAACACTGTGTTTAATGTTTCTCGTTGTCCTCCAAGACTAACCGACCCAGTGGTTCCTGCTCTACTTTCCCATGCTTTAAGGTCACAGTTATTATTGATTAATTTCTTTTCTTTTTTTTCTTTCTTGTTTTCGAGAGGGAGTTTTGCTCTTGTTGCCCAGGCTAGAGTGCAATGGTACAGTCCTCGGCTCACTGCAACCTCCACCTCCCTGGTTCAAGCGATTCTCCTGCCTCAGCCTCCCAAGTAGCTGAGACTATAGGCGCACGCCACCACACCTGGCTAATTTTGTATTTTTAGTAGAGATGGGTTTTCACCACGTTGGCCAGGCTGGTTTTAAACTCTTGACCTCAGGTGATCCACCTGCCTCAGCCTCCCTAAGTGTTGAGATTACAGCATGAGCCACCGTGCCTGGCTGATTAATTTCTTTTTATGACAAAAAAGAATACACACGTTTGTTGAAAAAGAAATCAAGCATTATAGACTTGCATAAAGCAAAAGTGCACTCCCACTCCCACCCCTACTTCCACTCTTCAGATGTAGCCAGTATAAATGCTTTTGTGTGTATCCTTTTGTCTTTTTTCTTTGCAAATTAGTTGCATGCATATTTTCCTCCAAATCACATTATTCTGCAACTTTATTTTAATTTTAATTTTTTTCAACTTTCTTTTTTTCCTGTAATAATATGTTATGGATATTCTTTTTCTTTTTTTAAAGACAGAATCTTGCTTTTTTTTTTTTTTTGAGACTGAGTTTTGCTCTTGTTGCCTAGGCTGGCATTCAGTAGCGTGATCTCAGCTCACTACAACTTCTGCCTCCCAGATTCAGGCAATTCTCCTGTCTCAGCCCCAGTAGCTGGGATCATAGGCACCCACCACCATGCCCGGCTAATTTTCTGTATTTTTAGTAGAGACGGAGTTTCACCATGTTAGCTAGGCTGGTCTCGAACTCCTGACCTCAGGTGATCCACCTGCCTCGGCCTCCCAAAGTGCTGGGATTACAGGTGTGAGCCACTGCACCCAGCCAGAATCTTGCTATGTTACCCAAGCTAGAGTGCAGTGGCTATTCACAGCTTACTACAGCCTTGAACTCCTGGGCTCAAGCTATCCCCCTGCCTCAGCCTCTCAAATAGCTGAGACTACAGACATGTGCCATTGCATCTTGCTATTATGGACATTCTTAAATATCAGAGCACACAGATTTACTAACAATATTTTTACAGGCTGTATAATATTCCATAGCATGGATACACTCTATTTGAATTTTTGGTAACATTTTAAAGAAGAAAACCATTTCACTTAAGTTTTTTCCATTCACTTAACATTTTTCTTCTTCTTCTCCTTCTTCCTCACTATGTTTCCCCGGCTGGAAACAAGCAATCCTCCTGCCTTAGCCTGAGATTACGGGCGCAAGCCACCACACCTGGCTCCAAAATTTATCTTCTGAATGCTTGAGCCTGTTCTCAGCAGATTTGGGCTGAACTGAATTTGCTAAAACTGAGGTGTAGGGCAGTGACCAATTTTGGGGGGTTTCTTATCCTTTTACCACCTTGGCTGCTGACAGCATTTCCTGCCTTGACCCCCAGGCAGCTCCTTCCACTCTGATGCTCTGCCCTCCACATGTCCTGCTCTGTTGCTCAGTCTTCCCCTGTCCTAGTTTAATCCAAGTAGCTCTGCAGGGTTTGGAGGTCCATGCAAGGGGAGTTTACTCCCTCCTCAGAATATAGGATGATGGCTTTTTTTTCTTTTCTTTTCTTTCTTTCTTCTTTTTTTTTTTTTTTTTTTTGAGATGGAGTTTCGCTCTTGTTGCCCAGGCTGGAGTGCAATGGTGCAGTCTCTGCTCACTGCAACCTCCACTTCCCAGGTTCAAGTGATTCTCTGCCGCAGCCTCCCAAGTAACTGGGACTACAGGTGCCCACCACCATGCCCGGTTAATTTTTTGTATTTTTTTTTTTTTAAGACGTACTTTTGCTCTTGTTGCCCAGGCTGGAGTGCAATGGCATGATCTCGCTCATTGCAACCTCCGCCTCCCAGGTTCAAGTGATTCTCCTGCCTCAGCATCCTGAGTAGCTGGGATAATAGGCACGCACCACCACACCCAGCTAATTTTTTGTATTTTTAGTAGAGATGGGGTTTCTCCATGTTGGTCAGGCTGGTCTTGAACTCCTGACCTCAGATGATCCACCTGCCTCGGCTTCCCAAAGTGCTGGGATTACAGGCGTGAGCAACTGCGCCCGGCCCCAATTTTTTGTATTTTTAGTAGAGATGGGGTTTTTCCATTTTGGCCAGGCTGGTCTCGAACTCCTGTCCTCAGGTGATCCACCCGCCTTGGCCTCCTTCACGATTACAGGCGTGAGCCACCACGCCCGGCTAGATGATAGCATTTCTTAAGGCTGCTGGTGCCATTGAGGCAGGGTTGGGGGTGGCTTTGCCAAATTTTTCGTAAGATTCCAGAAATTATTTGGGCCAGAAAATCCAAATTGTATGCCTAACTTTGTAACCAACTGTCTGTAAGACCCTGAGCAGATTACCTCACCCCTATGGACCTTTGGGTCATAATCTTTAATTGAAGCCATTGGACTAGAATGGAGTTGGTAAATATCTTCTTAAAGCATCAGCTAGTAAATGTTTTAGGCTTTGCGGGCCGTATTGCCTCTGTTCCAACTCTGTTGATGTAGCATGAAAGTAGCCACAATAATACATAAACAAATGAGAGTAACTATTCCAATAAAACTTTATTTACAAAAACAGGTAGCCAGCAGGCATGGTGTGGTGCACCTGTAGTCCCACCTATTTGTGGGACTGAGGCAGGACGACTGCTTGGGCCCAGGTGAGGATCACTTGAGCCCAGGAGTTTGAGGCCAGCCCAGGCCACATAATGAGGCACTGTCTATAAAACAAAAACAAAACAAAGCAAAAAAAAAAAAAAAAGAAAAAAGAGGTAGCCAGCCTGCAAGTCATATTTTGCTGAGCCCTGCATGAGATGTTTAGGATCTCATCCATTTGCCGCATTCTGTGGCTGTATAGCCCTATTGGGAGGTAGTGACTCCTGCTGCACAGCTGGTCTGCATCACTCTACTTAGCACTTATTATATGGGCTTTCTTGCTCTTTATTGCTTTGTGTGTATTCGTGCTGTCTTCCCACCAAGAGAGTGAACAGTTAGGCAGCAGGAATGGCCTTAAATTCTTCTACATCTTAATGGGAGCCTAGCACCTTCCTGGACATTAATTAAGCATTACACAGGCCGGGTGCAAGGGCTCACATCTGTAATCCCGGCACTTTAGGAGGCGAAGGTGGGAAGATTGCTTGAGTCCAGGAGTTCAAGACCAGCCTGGGCAATGTGGTGAAACCCCATATCTACAAAAACTACAAAAATTAGCCAGGTGTGGTGGTCATGTGCCTGTAGTCCCAGATACTGGGGAGGCTGAGGTGAGAGGATCACCTGAACCTCAGAGGTTGAGGCTGCTGTGAGTGGTGAGTCATGATTATCCCACTGTACTCTAGCCTGGGCAACAGAGTGAGACCCTGCCTCAAAACAAACAAACAAGCAAAAGAATTACATGAAAATACTAACAGCGACAATGAACAGCTATCACTGATGAGGATTACAGTATTTATTGTTCGAGTGTCCAGTCGTCGAGAAAAGCTCATCCTGCATGCTTTCTGTCTCTCCCACCCCTAGCAATCACAGAGGTGGTAAAATGTGAGCATGAGCGGGCCGTCCACCTCTTTGTTGACTCTCTGGTGAATCAAGACAAGCCAAGCTTTGCCTTCCAGTGCACTGACTCCAATCGCTTCAAGAAGGGGATCTGTCTGAGCTGCCGCAAGAACCGTTGTAATAGCATTGGCTACAATGCCAAGAAAATGAGGAACAAGAGGAACAGCAAAATGTATCTAAAAACCCGGGCAGGCATGCCTTTCAGAGGTAACCTTCAGTCCCTGAAGCATCCCTGAGGAAGGCCCTTATACCTCCTTCTTAATACCATGCTGCAGAGCAGGGCACGTCCTAGCCCAGGAGAAGTGGCCAGCACAATTCAATCAAATCATTGCAAATCAGATTACACTGTGCATGTCCTAGGAAAGGGAATCTTTACAAAATAAACAGTGGGGACCCCTTTTGTGATGTGGCTATCAGTCCATGATCACAATATCAGTATCTTAAATTTTTATCTTGCATTTAACTTTCTTTTTTTTTTTTTTGCATTTAACTTTCAAAGCTGTTTCATATTTGTTTTCTCATTTGATCATCACAAGAAACATAAGGCAGATGAACAGTGAACCAAAATGACATGTTACATTTTTATAATGCACTGCAAAATCACAAGGTTTTCTGGGTACTGTGGGTATTATTTTACTGTGAGGAGGTTGAGGCTCAGAGAGGTTAATACCTTGGTCCTTAATCCAGGGGCCTGTAGTTAGAAAGTAGCTAAATGAAAATCCTCAAAAGAGCTAACCCCCAAGCACAGGGCTCCTTCTTCTAGACTGCAGTGGCCTCTTATGGCATTGGACAGAACAAGAGCAGATGGGGGCTGCAGGTTGGGCTCAACCAAAAGAACACCAGCCCTAAAATCTCTGTGCTGGGTGACTCAGTTTGGGTCGGGGTGTCCTGTGATGACAAGCAAGGGGTACAAGCATCTTTGTTCTGCTGTCTCTGCAGTTTACCATTATCAGATGAAAATCCATGTCTTCAGTTACAAGAACATGGGAGAAATTGAGCCCACCTTTTATGTTACCCTTTATGGCACTAATGCAGATTCCCAGACTCTGCCCCTGGAAATGTAAGTCATCAGTTTCCCTTGCTGGGTTTGGGATAGAGAACAGATTGGTTTGAGAATGAGAGAGCACAAGGGAGCATGTGAACAAGTGCAGCATGCAGGAGAGTGGAGTCCGACTGCTTGGGGAGGAGCCAGGTGGTCTGGCTGGCCTCTGCAGTCCTCCTGCTGCACCTTCTCTACCAAGCTCTGACTCAGCGTTTCAGGGAGGAAAGTTCCTGGGATGAATCAGCATCATGAGAAGCTGCTAGATCAGCGGCTGGATCAGCTAGGCAGAAACTGCTGTTTCATTCCAGGCAATGCCTGATGAGGCTTCAGGCAATCTGGAATTTCATAAACGTCATCCCTGGACCTTTCCTAATGATGTGGCTATGGGAGGGGTGCATAGCGATCTGTATATATTTGTTGAGTATCCACCAGGGACAAAGCGTCATGCCAAGTAATGGGATTGTGATGAAACATCATCAAAGTAGCTCACTTTTCAGGGCTCAGGGTCTAGCTGGGAGACCAGGTTTGTACATGCACATGCATACTTACGCACAGATGGGGCAAGGCAGACGAGGCCAAGCCAAATGAGAGGGACAGACAGGAAGCAGCTAGGAGGTCGGGGGAGACAGATGCCTGTGGGCTGAGCGGAACAGCGCACTTGAGTGGGGATGTGACTTCTTTGTGTTTTCTTATTGTGTTCTTTCTTGGTTCTGTATTTTCAGGAAGTAGCATAAGTGGGGCGGAGGGGGTGCCCAGGAATGGTTTTGATAAGAAGCTGGAGTGCTGTGGGCAAAGTTAGTTCAGCCCATGTGGAGTACACCCGAGCTTCCATCTTGTTCCTGCCGGTGGGAGGTGGAGGGTTAGAGGTGGGGGAAGGACTCACACTGTCTCTCTCCTGTCTGTGTGGGGTTGTTACTGCCACTGTGTCACCCCACACAGTGTGACAGTTTTCTAGCTGTCAGGGGAGTGAGATCAGCTTCTCTCCAACTTGTAGAGTGGAGCGGATCGAGCAGAATGCCACCAACACCTTCCTGGTCTACACCGAGGAGGACTTGGGAGACCTCTTGAAAATCCAGCTCACCTGGGAGGGGGCCTCTCAGTCTTGGTATAACCTGTGGAAGGAGCTTCGCAGCTACCTGTCTCAACCCCACAACCCCGGACGGGAGCTGAATATCAGGCGCATCCGGGTGAAGTCTGGGGAAACCCAGCGGAAGTAAGTGCCTCCTACTCCTTCTTCTGCCTGGTGTAGGTGGGGAACAGGAGGCCGTGCCTCTGCTATTTCCTTTCCTTTGCTGCATCCACCCTCAATCCTTCCCTCCAGCATGCAGGTAAAACCTCAAACACCTTTGCAAGGACAAGTGACTTCCAGATCAAGCCTTCTATCAACCGTTACGCATCTCATGCCCTGAACATAGGCCCTCGGGGAGAGGGGTGGGCCAGTAGCAGCAGGAATTCAGCCCTGGCCCTGTTTGCCAGGCCTTGTGTCGGCCTGGAGGAGGGGGACTTCTCTTGGTCCGGGCTTTTTAGGAGTGCTGCCTTGTTGATCTGTTTACTGTGGGGTCCATGCAGACAAAAGGCTTTGCTTGCTTCTGACCAGAGCAGACTGGAGTATCACGTCCAGGGAGCCCCCATGGATGAGATCTGTGGGAGGAGCTGGTTTTCCCCAGCATCTGATTTTCAGAGCATCATTAACTCTCTCCTTCAGAGGTTCTAAGTCAAGGATGTGGGGCTGTGGTCCTAACTGCAAGTCACAGAGAATCCTCTGTGCCATGCTAGCTGGCAGTTTCCCATTTCTTTTAACCCCAAGCCTAGCATAAAAGATCCAGACCTTTCTATCAGCTCCTAACACCGTGCCTTGACTCCCTGAGCGGGCTTCTTTCTAAACAGAAGCCAGAGAAGCCTGCGAGATCTTTGTCAAGAAGGGAGAGTTTCTTTAACCAAGTCCTTCAGCTGACCTCTAGAGAAGTCACTGCCAGCCTTGGCATGGGACGAGGCAACTGCCTCCCTCTTTGTCCCTCCTCTGGCATTTTCTCCATTATAATTCCTGCCATGTCTGGTTTACATTCATCATCTGTGGCACAGCTTGGCAGCAGAGGGAAGTGAAGCAGAGGCTTGGAGCCCTCAGCTGAATGATTCTAGTCTAGAAACCTGTGAACTGGGGGTGGTCTAGACTGTGTATCTTTTTACTTCTCTTGGCCCTTGCAGGTGCAAACTATACCTATGGGTGTGAGAGCAGGAAGATGATCACTTATAAATAAAATATTTCAAATAAAATAAACACCTATTAAATCACCATTGAGACTTAAAAATATAAATAGTTTTCCATATGGGTTTAGATATAAGATTTTTAAAAGTAAAACATTATAGATACAGTTGAAGCCCCTGTGTCCTTCTCTGCTCTACCCTTCTTCTTTCAAACCAAATATAACTAATATTTCAATATTAACAAATGTTAGTGTGTTTCCTTCCATCATGTTTTTATACCATTAGTACTTTTTTTTTTCTTTTGAGACTGAGTCTTGCTCTGTTGTCCAGGCTGGAGTACAGTGGCACAATCTTGGCTCACTGCAAACTCCGCCTCCCGGATTCAAGTGATTCCCCTGCCTCAGCCTTCTGAGTAGCTGGGATTACAAGTGTGTGCCACCATGCCCAGCTAATTTTTGTATTTTTAGTAAAGATGGGGTTTCGCCATGTTGGCCAGGCTGGTTTCAAACTCCTGACCTCAGGTGATCTGCCTGCCTCGGCCTCCCAAAGTGCTGGGATTACAGGTGTGAGCCACCACGCCCGGCCCCCTTAGTGCTTCTGTTTGTATACATAAACAATGTATAGAATTGTCTTGGATGCTTCTGAATTTTACATGAGTGGACATAACATTTTACAATTTGATTTTTTCATTCTAATATTGTTTGTGAAGTTTATCCAAAACATAAAGATCTAATCTATTCTTGTTTAACTCTGTATGTAAATCACCATTGCACAAATAGTTTTGCCATTGTTCTGCTGAATAAGCTAAGTTGTTATTGATTTTTTGTAGTTACAAATGGTGCTGAGATGAACATCCTCTGCACTTGCCTTGTGCACATGTGTGTAAGGGCTGTTTTTCAGCATGTGTTCTAAAAAGTGGAATTGCTGGGTTGTAGTATATGCATTCTCCAGCCCGAACAGATATTATTAAATCTGTCTCCAAAGTGGTTGAACTAATTTTCCATCTTAACTATGGATGAAGAGTTCCCTTTTCCCTCCTTTTCATCCATGTCTGGTGGGACGTTCTTGTCATTTTGTTAGATGTGAATGGGCCCCCTGCTGTTGTTTGAATTTGCATTTCCTGATTGTGTGTGAGATAGGTCATGTTTTTATATGTGTTTAAACATATAAGTCCTAAGGTCCTCAGGGCTTCCTGGGAAAGGTTCTTAAACTGTTATGAATGGGGCTTTTGTCCTGCCTCAGCTCCAGGGTCAGGTGCCCCACACACTTAAGGATTACGTGGTCACGCTACTCACACGCCCCCGAGGCTGCGTGGGGCAGCCGCAAGTTACAGGGAAATGGTTATTAGGCCCTGATTCTTTCTTGTGAGTCTTGGTTGTCCATTTGCTGAGTCTTTGATTTTGACTTGCAGCTGAGTTGCAGTTGCTCTTGCCAATGGATATTTACAGAGCACTGGACTAGAGGTACTTTGAATCATTCCGTTCAAGTTTACGGTCTAGTGGAGGAGTCAACCACAGAAATCAGCAAGCAATTTCACATAGGGCATAAAGTTTTAAAATAAAACGTGTTTTTTTTTTTTTTTTTTAACTCTATGTTGCAAGAAGTAGCAACACTAACAAAAGCAATATTTATATAAGGACATACTTTGTAACCAGTTGAAAGGCCAAGGGAGGGTTAGGTTAATGAGGGCTCAAGCAGTCAGGGAGGCTTCTGAGAGGCTATGGCCTTGACAGGCAGGTGGCCTTTTGGATAGACAGAGGGAAGCAGGTGGGAGAGGTCTGGCTGAGGCTGCATGAGGCTGAATCATGGAAGCTTCAACGTGAGACACAGTTTAGAGTCCCTGCAGTAGCGATGGGGAATTCTGAAGGCTTTTGAGTCAGGGCATGGCATGAAAATTTCACCCCTGCCTCCTCACCCATCTGCCTTGAATCCAGAAAGCACAGCTGGATTCCCCCTAAAGTTCTGGCTACATCAATGGTTTCTTTTCCTTCCTAGACTGACATTTTGTGCAGAAGACCCTGAGAACACCAGCATATCCCCAGGCCGGGAGCTCTGGTTTCGCAAGTGTCGGGATGGCTGGAGGATGAAAAATGAAACCAGGTAAGCAGGACGTTTTCATGTGTTCCACCCAGGACATGTTGACGTGATGATCTCCTAGCATGTGCTGGGGATGGATCTGGGTGCTAGGGACATAGCATGAACAAAACAGATTAAAAATCTCTTCAAGAAGCTGGGCCAGGCATAGTGGCTCACTTCGGGAGGCCGAGGCAGGCAGATCACCTGAGGTCAGGAGTTTGAGACCAGCCTGGCTAACATGGTGAAACCAGTCTCTACTACTACTACTACTACTACTACTACTACTAAAAAGCTGGGCGTGGTGGTGCATGCCTGTAATCCCAGCTACTTGGGAGGCTGAGGCAGGAAAATCGCTTGAACCTGAGAGGCCGAGGCTGCAGTGAGCTGAGACAGCAATATTGCTCTCCAGCCTGGGCAACAAGAATGAATCTCTGTCTCAAAAATAAAGAAAGGGCTGGCTGCAGTGGCTCACGCCTGTAATCCCAGCACTTTGGGAGGCCAAGGCAGGTGGATCACGAGATCAGGAGATCGAGACCATCCTGGCTAACACGGTGAAAACCTGTCTCTACTAAAAATATAAAAAATTAGCCGGGTGGGGTGGCGGACGCCTGTAGTTCCAGCTACTTGGGAGACTGAGGTAGGAGAATGGCGTGAACCCGGGAGGCGGAGCTTGCAGTGAGCTGAGATCGCGCCACTGCACTGCAGCCTGGGTGACAGAGTGAGACTCTGTCTCAGAAAAAAAAAAAAAAGAAAAAAAAGAAAGAAAGAAGGAAAGAAGCTGACCTTCTGCAAGGAGATAAAGAAGCAAGTGAAATACTGTAGATATGATGTTGGAAGTGTTAATGTCTCTTCTGCATTTTGTCCTGCCTCAACCTGTAGGGGTTCATTGCACATGACCCTACTGGCATGAGATTGTCTCTGTAACTAAGTCCCTGGGTTGGTGCCCCTGCCTGCCATCTTTGAAGTATCTTTTTTTTTTCCTTTGAGACAGGGTCTTACTCTGTTACCCAGGCTGGAGTGCAGTGTCATGATCCTGGCTCACTGCAGCCTTGACCTTCCCAGGCTTGGGTGATCCTTCCACCTTTGCCTCCTGAATAGCTGGGACCACAGGCACATGCCACCACACCGAGCTAATTTGTGCATTTTTTGCAGAAACAGGGCTTCACCATGTTGCCCAGTCTGGTCTTGAACTCCTTGGCTCAAGTGATCCGCCTGCCTCGGCCTCCCAGCGTGCTGGGATTACAGGCGTGAGCCACTGTGCCTGGCCCCTGCCATCTTTGATTGACATCTTCTCTGTAATAACTAGAGCTGTGGGAAGGTGCCTAAGGGCTCCTAGCTTCCTTTGGCCACTATGTCAGGGTTGGGAATGGGGTGGGAGACAAAGAGAAGCACAAAGCATATTCTCCTTTCTTAGGTTTTCTAGAACTCAGGTGAGTGTGGGCCTAATTCTCCCACACACTTTTTTTTTTTTTTTTTTTTTTTTGAGACAAAGTCTAGCTCTATCGCCCAGGCTGGAGTGAAGTGGAGTGATCTTGGCTTACTACAGCCTCTGCCTCCTGGGTCCAAGCAATTCTCCTTCCTCATCCTCCCGAGTAGCTGGGATTACAGGTGCTTGCTACTATGCCTGGATAATTTTTGTATTTTTAGTCGAGACGGGTTTTCGCCATGTTGGCCAAGTTGGTCTCGAACTCTTGACCTCAAGTGATCTGCCCACCTTGACCTCCAAAAGTGCTGGCATTACAGGTTTGAGTCACTGTGCCCGACCCCAATCCTCCGCCTTTTTGAGAAACAGAAATGCTCATGTATGTGGAGCTAAGTGAGACAAAGGGGTTGTCATGCTTCACTATCCCCTCGTCCCATGCTGCAATCCATGATTTCAGATGTGAGGAAGGCCCATCTCCTGGTGTGAGGCAGTGGGCTCATCCTGGGGAACCAGCCACGTGCCTTCTAAGCCGAAACACCTGCTAAGGAGGAAGGGGACTGTCTCCCCACACCATGCCTGTCCCCACCCCTTGCTCTAACCAGGGTACTAGATAATAATAGTGCTGTGGTACACCTAGCACTTAGCTTGGGCCCAGCCTGCACCCAGGGACTTACATAATGATGTTTATCATCAACCCCACTAGGCAGGGGTTGTTATCCCTGTGTACAGATGAGGAACCGGGGCTCAGGGATATGAAGTTTCTCTCCCAAGGCCCCCAGCGCTGGCAGAGGGAGTTGAAGCAGGTCGGTCTACTCCAAAGCCTGCACTCTTGAGCACCGAGGCTCCATGTGCTCAGATGAATCACCTTGCCTCTGTCTGGGTATCAATTATCAGGCAGCTGTGCCTCATGCTCCAGGGTCCCCTGTGATGAACCGTTTGCCACCCCCGAGGCTGGGCTGCATCCCAGCTGCTCTGTCTCCTGTTTAGGAGCTGAACATAACCACAAGCACCATCATCACAGGACTCGTGCCATCTAATTAAGGGACTCGGTCTAGTGTAGGCTCATATGATTTTCTACTGTTATAACAATTGTAAATCTTTATGTACTTAAATGTATACATTTCAAAGTGTTTCCACATATATTAACTTCATTGATCCTCCAGACAACCATGTAGATTGGACACACCCAGAAAAGATGGCTAAGGAAGGCTATTCTTTTTTATTGAGACAGGGTCTTGCTCTGTCACCCAGGCTGGAGTATAGTGGCAGGATCACAGCTCATTGCAGCCTCGACCTCCCTGGGCTCAGATGATCCTCCTACCTCAGCCTCCTGAGTAGCTTGGATTACAGGAATGCGCCACCATGCCTGGCTAATTTTTGTATTTTTTGTAGAGATGAGGTTTCACCATGTTGCCCAGGCTGGTCTCTATCTCCTGGGCTCAAGTGATCTACCTGCCTCGACCTCCCAAAATGCTGGGTTTGCAGGCATGAGTCACTGTGCCAAGTCAGGATGGCTATTCTTCTGATAAAGGCTAAGATATTTATTCTTCTTTCCCACTTTGGAATTCATATACCTGAGAACTCTATGACTCACCTTCTCACTACTAATTTTAGAAAACAAGCTGTCCTTTCCATTTCCCTCAAAAACAATAGGAGCCCAAGTAATAAATGAACATTAGGAAGTCATAGCATCATATGTAACATGTTCAGCATCCTCCCTCCTGACATGGATGCTGTTCACATGTTCACTGATAAGGAGCCTGAAATTCAGTGAGGTTCAGTGGTTTGTTCACGTAACTGAGACTAGAATCCAGGTCTCCCAACTCTCAGTCTTGCCCCCTTCCTGCCAATACAGTGTCTCTCTTGTATTTCTAGATCAAGGCAAGGAGGATGCTTTGATGGTTCTCCCCACACTTGTGTGTCTGTGATTGTGTGTGTGTGTGTGTATGTGTGTGTTGTGAGTGGATATTGTGCTAAATATGTAAATGCGAGAACTGTGATGTACTCAACTCAGGGTCCAGAGAGTGCTGCAGCGTGGTGTTTCTCAAAGTGCATTTGTGGCTTCTCAGGTTAGGGAGAGAAGGCAGCACTCAGGACCTTGTCCATTTATTCTGAAAGGAATACAGGTAAAATAGTCCTATGGAGTGTCAGAAAGTTTGGCCTTGAGGTTGACAGAGCACACCCTGAATACAGGTTTGCATGTTTGCTGGTGCGTGAGCTAATGAATGCCACTCTCACACGGTTTCTTTCAGTCCCACTGTGGAGCTTCCCTGAGGGTGCCCTGGCAAGTCTTGCCAGCAAGGCTGGAAGACTGCCTGCTATCCAAGCACACGGAGGAGAGTTACTGCTGAGGACCCACCAATGGGAGGATTCTTCTCAGCCTTGACCCTGGAGCTCCGGGAACAGCTGGTCTCCTGTGATGGCCGGGATTCCTCGTGGGAGGGGACTGTACGCTGCTATAGCTCTTGCTGCCTCTCTTGAATAGCTCTAACTCCAAACCTCTGTCCACACCTCCAGACCACCAAGTCCAGATTTATGTGTAAGCAGCTGGGTGCCCGGGGCCTCCCGTGCACACTGAAGTGGTTTCTCAGTTGCTGGGTGAGCATGTACTCTGCCTGACAAGGAATGCTGGCTCCGAAGAGGCCCTGTGTAGAAGGCTGTCAGCTGCTCAGCCTGCCTTGAGCCTTAGTGAGAAGTCCTTCCAATGGGAGCTGACTCTTGTCAGAATGGCAGGCCTGGTATCTTGTTCAGACCCTGACTGTTGGGGTTCTCATGGGTTGCACTGACCACACTGGTTACATCTTAGCCATTCCGTCCTGCTCCCCAGCTCGCTCTCTGAAGCACACATAATTGGCTTTCTTATTTTTCTGTTGTTCATTTTTTTTTTTTTTTTTTTTTTGGAGATGGAGTCTTGCTCTGTGGCCCAGGCTGGAGTGCAGTGGCGCAGTCTCAGCTCACTGCAACCTCCGCCTCCCGGGTTCACACCATTCTCCTGCCTCAGCCTCCCGAGTAGCTGGGAGTACAGGCGCCCGCCACCATGCCCGGCTAATTTTTGGTAATTTTAGTAGAGACAGGGTTTCACCGTGTTAGCCAGGATGGTCTCGATCTCCTGACCTTGGGATCCACCCACCTCGGCCTCCCAAAGTGCTGGGATTCCAGGCATGAGCCACCGCGCCTGGCCTGTTGTTCATTTTTTAATTGAGCAAATGTTTATTGAACACTTAAAATTAGTTAGAATGTGGCAGTGGATATATTACTGAGCCTCTCCATTTGGAACCCAGTGGAGTTGGGATTTCTAGACCCTCTTTCTGTTTGGATGGTATATGTGTATATGCATGGGGAAAGGCACTTGGGGCCTGGGGGAGGCTATAGGATATAAACATCAGGGACCCTGAGGCTTTAAGTGGTTTCTATTTCTTCTTAGTTATTATGTGCCACCTCCCCTGTGAGTGACATGTTTGATCACTAGCAGAATAGCAAGCAGAGTATCATACATGCTGGGGCCAGAATGATGGCTGGTTGCCAGATGTAACTGCTTTGGAGCAAATCTCTTCTGTTTAGGGAGATAAAAGGTATGACATATGTAATACACATCTGTGTACACAGAAACCAGCACCTGCCAGACAGAGCTGGTTCTAAGATTTAATACAGTGCTTTTTTCCTCCTTGAAATATTTTGTTTTAATACCAGTGCCTTTTCTTGTTGAACTTCTTGGAAAACCCACTGATTCTAGATCTTGATTTGAATTAATACACACAATATCTGAGACACTTACACTTTTCAAAAGATTTGTGTGTGCATTACCTAATTAGAGTAGGGGGAGAAGGGCAGCTATTATTATCCCTATTTACAAAACCGAAGCTTAGTGAGGGTCAGCCACATGCCTAGACTTACATACCTAGTTAGTGGTGCAGCAGGGAGAGGACTCAGATTTCCTGGAGGCAAAGTCTGTTTCTGAAACTCCATGAAGATGTTTGCAGCCAATTCCCACCAATATGCCCCAGATGTGAGACACACAAGGACTTTTTTTTTTTTTTTATAGAGCCATCCATAAAATCCTAAGCCCTTTTATTAATGTATAACCAGGAGAACATCTGTGCCAAGGGGTTGGACTTTTTATGTCTGATGTTCGGGAGGAAGTGTGATACCAACTTGGGGAGGAAGAATGATTTTCTTTGTACTTAGGTTTTCTAAGGACATTGTTTTAATCTGTATTGTGCCAAAGTTGTATCACTGTTAAACTTCTGAAGACATAACCAGTTGAGTCTTAATTCAAGATATGTTCTCAAGCCAATTAAGTGCTTCTCTTGTTTCTGTGATTGCTTTCTAGCCAAAGTGAAGCTTGTATAGGTTGAGTATCCCTTATCCAAAATGCTTGGAACCAGAAGTGTTTCAAATTTTAGATTATTTTCAGATTTTGGAATATTTGCATATGCATAATGAATTTTGGGAATATTTTTGGGAATATTTTTGGAATTTTTGGGAATAAGACCCAAGTCTAAACACAAAATTCATTTATGTGTCATTTACACCTTATCCACATAGCCTGAGGGTAATTTTATACAGTATTTTAAAAAATCGTGTACATGAAGCACAGTTTGTGGTGAGTACTTATGTGAGGGGTTTTCCCACTTGTTTTCTTGTTGGTGCTCAAAAAGTTTTGGATTTTGGAGTATTTCGTGTTTTGGATTTTTGGATTAGGGATGCTCAACCCATATTATTGGCTGTACATCCTGGCCACTTCTGACTTCTGTTTTTACTCGTGGAAGCTTTGCGAATTGAATTCTCAGTGGGTTGTATATTTATACACCTGGCTTAAGCCTTAATTGTATATAATGATGCTTTTTAAAAAATGCTATTTAGAAGACTATTTATTTCTCAAGTGTATATAATGTATAAAAACAAATATATGGTTAGTTTTTACGTTAGGTTAACCGATTTCAAGATTAAAAGTTTTAAATAGTAAAATAATAAAAAATTATAAAGTTCTTAATGGTCTGGCAACTCAATTCTTGTTTTTTTTTTTTTTTTGTTTTTTTGAGACAGAGCCTCTTTCTGTCACCCAGGGTGGAGTGCAGTAGCAATCTTAGCTCACTACAACCTCTGCCTCCTGAGCTCAGGTGAGCCTCCCACCTCAGCCTCCTGTGTAGCTGGGATTACAGAGATGTGCCACCATGCCCAGCTAATTTTTGCATTTTTAGTAGAGATGGGGTTTTGCCATGTTGGCCAGGCTGGTCAGGCTGGGTTTGAACTCCTGGCCTCAAGTGATCCGCCTGCCTCAGCCTCTCAAAGTTCTGGGATTACAGGCGTGAGCCACCGTGCCTGGCCAGTTCTTAAAGTTTGAAAGAATTATAGCTGCCCCAACGTAGAGCTTGACAAAAAGTTACTCTAATATAAGGCATATTCTTTGACACTTATTGTTGGCAGAAGTGGACAGCAATTCACTAAAGAACCAGAACAAGAACATCATTTCACTAAAGACGAGAAGAAAAATTATTTCAATTGTAGCAGCTTGAAGGCCTGAAGGTGGATATTAGGAAGAACAGGGAGCATGGCTGGACATTGGTGAGCATTAGTGAGATTATTAGGTTTGGTTGAATGGGAACTAGATATCAGTGACCTAGACCAGAAGGAAGCTGATTTCTCTATTGGTTAAAGTCCCAGCTGGTAGTAAGGCTCTATTCTACAGGCCAAGAGGGGTGCAGGTTCTTAGTTTTTCACTGTGCCATTCATAGGGTATTCCTCATATCCCCACAGCCCAGGGATCCCCCACTAGGTCCCCTACCAGCCGATGGAAAGCCAGAAAAGGGAAGGGATGAACAGTCTCCTCTTAAAGACATGACTGAGAAGTTGCCTACATTCTATTGGCCGGAAATGAATCCATGGTCACATGACAGGCTGAGAAATACAGTCTTTATTTAGGGTGCCCATGGGCCCTGTTGAAGATCCAGTTACTATTATTTATTTATTTATTTAAAAGTGACGTATAATAATTGTACATATTTGTGGTGTAAATAGTGATGTTTCCATACATATAAGGTGTAGTGATCATATTGGAATAATTAAGCATATCCATCCTCTCAAACATGTATTGTTGCTTTGTGTTGGGAACATTCAGTATCCTCCTTATAGTTACTTGAAACCATATTTTATTAACTCTAGTTACCCTACAGTGGTATAGGACACTAGAACTTATTCCTCCTGTCTAGCTATAACCTTGTTTGTTTTGTTTTTTGTGTGTGTGTGTGTGTGTGTTTGTGTTTTTTTAATTGAGACGGAGTCTTGCTCTGTCGCCCAGGCTGGAGTGCAGTGGTGCGATCTTGGCCCACTGCAACCTCCATCTCCTGGGTTCAAGTGATTCTCCTGCCTCAGCCTCTCAAGTAGCTGGAATTATAGGCATGTACCACCATGCCCAGCTAATTTTTGTATTTTTATTAGAGACAGGGTTTCACCATGTTGGCCAGGCTGGTCTTGAACTCCTGACCTCAAGTGATCCCCCTACCTCAGCCTTCCAAACCGTCAGGATTACAGGTGTGAGCCACTGTGCCCAGCCACTAGCTGTAATTTTGTATCTTTTAACAATGCTGTCCCTATTTCCCCTTTCCCCTTACCAATTACTATTTATTAAAAGGGAAATTGGATCTTGCCATCCATTTATCAGGAATTAATTTTTCTCTGCTAAGGCCCACGAGATAGACCAGAGTACCATTTAAATGATTAAATCCTGTAGTCAATTTTTAGTAATCTTAAACTGATCTATGACTATGAAGTATAATGCATTACATCAGTTTGACTTTATTTCTGGTCTTGTGTGAAAACATTTTAAAATGAGAAGGGAGCTCTCTGTAAGGGGCTTTAATGATGGTGGAAACTCCACTGTCCATCTCTACCAAGGACATTCGGAAACCAGGCTTGATAATGGCTGTAGGGAGTTGAGTTAGACAATAAGAGGTAAGTTCTTCATTTAGTTCAGATTCAGAGGAAAGCAGAAAATGGTGTCTCTGGCATACTAAAGAAAATTGTTGAAATATCCCAAAGGAAGAGTCATAACCTGGTTGACTTCAAGTTCCTTGTTGGACTTGGGGGTTCAATTACTAATTAGAGTCAGGGGAACGTCCACAGACTTCCTTTGACTCTCCAAACAAGCTGAAGCCCCAGCTCTTGGAAGGATGGATACAAAGTAGGTACTAGAACAGTCTTTGTCATCAAATATGGTATTTCTCAGGTGTCACCTCTGTGTTCAGAGCTACCCTGAGCCCTCTGCCATGTAAGCTCTATGATGGCACAGATTTTTATCTGGCTTGTTTTCTGCCATTGTCTTAGAACCTAGAATAGTGTCTGGAACATCATGGGTGTTCAATGAATATTTAAATAAATAGATGAAGTTGGATATAAGAAACTAGGTGCTTAAACAGGCAGCAGGTAGTCTAGGAAAAGAGCAGTTAGTTTGGAATCAGAATTCTTGGTGTGTCATCCAGCATTATGTGAGCTTTAGGCTAACTAAATATAGCCTTTCTGAGACTCTGTCTGCTCATTTAAGAGACAGAGACAATACTGCTCAGGGTTGCTGTGAATGTTAAAGGTACATGGTGAAAAAGAAAATATTCATGTTTTGTAAACATTTGAACTGATAGGAGGACAGTGTGAGACAAAGATACAATAAAAAGAAAATCCTGGCTGGGCACAGTGGCTCACCCCTGTAATCTCAGCACTTTGGGAGGCCGAGGTGGGAGGATCATGAGGTCAGGAGTTCGAGACCAGCCTGGCCAATGTGGTGAAACCCTGTCTCTACTAAAAATACAAAAATTAGCTGGGCCTGGTGGCATGCGCCTGTAGTCCTAGCTACTCCGGAGGCTGAGGTGGACGAAATTGCTTGAACCTGGGAGATGGAGTTTGCAGTGAGCTGAGATCACGCCACTG